CGGAAGAGGAAACAAAGCTAAAAAGTACTAGTCCACATTCTCTTAATAAGTTAAACTTACTTTCCCTCCCCTGTCTACAAAAGGGGTAGAAGCAAAGGGGAAAAGAGGCTACCAAAAATAAAAAATTAAAAAGAAAAAAAAAAGAAAAAAGAAAGGAGAGAGAAGGAGAGAGCGCGCGAGAGAGAGAGCAGTCTGTGGTCAGAGGCTCAGAGCAGGGCTGAGTTCCTTTTAAGGGTTTAAAAGATGCAAAACAGTTCCTCAACAGTTCCCTCTCTTCAACAGTTAGTTCAATGCTGTAGCCATAGAAACTCAAGTATATATTGGAGGAGAGATTCTTTCGGGCAGATCCACCGTCATCCGGAGAGCTGCTCAGCGTGTGTTAATCCTCAATGATTATGGGTTCATCATTCATGGGCTGGCGTAGCTGCACTGCCTGGATGGGCCGGAGGATAATAGGCTTGTAAGGGCGTCTGGCGGCTCGCTTGGCTTCGGAGGAGGAAAGCAGCTTGCGGATTTTCCTGCAGACAGTAAGGAAGAAAGGAACCTATTACAGAGACCAGCATTGTAGGTTTCTCAATTTCTCCAAGTGAAACCAGGCCTGCACAGGCAGAGGCTGCTCACTAACTGGATGGGCTGACACTGTTTATTTCAGCAATATCTTCCCCAGGGAACTTTTGTTTTCTGATTTATAAACCCGCCAATGAAGAGGAAATTGCATTCTCTGTTCCAGAATCCTTCCCCTGCAGAGCAGAAGGCATTCTGGTCCAGCTTCATAGGACCAGGATCTACTGCTGTAAATATAAACACATGAAATAGTTGTGACAGCCAGTTTCCATACCACTAATTTAGTTTGATGCACACAGACACATCGGTTGGACATGCTGCAGGCAGCTTTGCGGGAATTTACAAAGCCAAGTTAAACCAAACCTCTTCTGGCAACGCTGGTCACTTCCCCGCCTGCTAATCCGTCTCTCGCAGAGCTCCCTGCCATTCCCCAGCCCCAAGCAGGTGCACACAGCTGCCTCTTCAAAAGAAACCCCTAAGAGCACAAGCCAGCAACAGTTGGTCTCCCATGGGGCTCAAGGCTGAGCTGCCACAGGGGAGCCCCACGACGGCCACTAACCAGTGAACCAGCCTTCCCCCCTCCACTGGGAACACTAACAAGGTATCTCCCCCTCTTATTTCTCCTGCACTGCATGTCCCCAACCTAGAAATGGGTAATATTCACGTCTTGCATTTGTTAAGAGTGTCCCTTTAGGTTACAAGACTAGCAACAAGTCTTATCAGATGCAGGACGTTGTTTTCCATGTGGAGAGAAAGTAAGAGAGAGAGAGAATGGAGAGAGGACACACTGAAGTTTTCAAGTTAGCAAAATAAGATAGAAAGAGACAATACAGAGTGATTACTGGTTTCTTTTTGTCAACACCACGGCCAGAGCTAAAGGAAGTAGCCTAAAAATTGGGAAAAAAAAAAAAAACAAACCCCAAAACAAAACAAGAAGAAAAAACCAGCAACAATGAAAAATGTGTTATATAATCAAAATGAGGAATTAATTTCCAGAGGATGTTGTGGTGGTCAAAGGCATATAGAGATTAAAAAGGAAAGTGATAAATATTCACAAGAGTACTCTACCAGTACCCATGATACACACAGCCTTCAGAGTTCAGGAACTGGGGCAACAAGGAGGGTCTGATAAGGAAGCACTGCCTACCCTTAGAGGCTCCCACCTTAACGATTTTTAACTTACTGTGAGGGACACGATACTGCACTAGAGGAAGGGCAGCCACATGGCTTTACAGTCCACAACTCAAACATCTATCTCCCAAAGAGAATTTTTATACTTTTTGGTTACTCAACGTTGTCAGGGCCAAATTTTTCATTTTAAAAAGAAAAAAAGAACGGACAAGACACATTCATAGAAGAAACTGGTCAATGTACTGCCCCCCAAATTTACCCTCCCCACCAACAGCACTGACAAATCAACAACTTCAGCTGAAGATTTTGAATCAGCTCTGGTAAGATTTGGTCCTCTCTTGGAATATTTTTTTTTTTTTTTTTTTTTTTTGCCCACCGAGCAGAACAAGCCTGCTACTACATAGAGCTCGCAGACACAGACACATGTCTCTTGTTTGCTCAGTGTCCCCAGTTCTCCAGTGTCTTCTGAAATTGAAAGGGCACAGGCTGGGGAGAAGAGAGAACAGGGTGGAAAAGTGGTAGTGGGGAGAAAAAAAAAAAAATACAATCTTGATGTGATGATTTTTCCAAGACTCGCTTAGCTGAAGCTGATCTACTTTCAGCCAGTGGAGCTTCTCACAGTATCTGCATGTGCTCAATTAGACACGCTGCCATCAGAAACACGTCTCGTAGCAGTTCTAGATTCTGATCAGGTCACTCGCTGCCTCCACTTACATAAATTATAAATCCCTAGTTCCTTACTGTGAGGCTTGAATTCAAAAACTTATTCAATTGACAAACTTTTCAAACTGCTCCCTCAAAGCTATCCAGTTTTCTAGCACTGTTCTCAACAGTGCCACACAAGAGGGGGAGGAGAGAGGGGTGTAAAACTTTACGAAAACCTGCTTTCTGTGACTGAAAACACAGCCTGCCCCTCAGCTGGAGGATGATATGCAGATATTGCTGCTAGATTGATTGCTAGGGAGCCAACACAAAGCTCAAATTGTTTCAGCGCTCACAAACAACTCTTACATTCTTGACACTGGAATGCAGCAGATGGTTCAGGGAAAAGTTAGAGGTGAAATGCCCGACAGAAAACCCGTGCCACTTACAATGCTACATCGCTCAGGCTTCCCTGCTTTTCAGCAGGCTGCCAAACATCTCTTTTCAGCACTCATCAGTCAGCTAAGCAGCAAGGCTGTCAGACAAAGCAGCCCGTTCTTTCTTTCTTGTTTTTTTTAAAATGGAAGAGATAAGGTCTTATTGAGCTGATGTCTATCACTGCACTACGATTTCTGCGTTGGTGGTTGCTGTGGGACTGATCTTTCCTGCCTTGGTCAGTAGTTCTGTATGACCAGATAATTCTGTGCCCTTAAGTAAGTTGTTCTCATGACCAACATCACACTTGAATATTCTCACTGTTCTGTACGGATCAAAGGGCGGGACCTTGTAGTAGTACTGAGACATTACTACCACGGACCTGCAGTAATTCTTGTGGGTTGGATGATAAAAATGTCAAGTGGTTTGTAGATGCAAGATTACGAAATAAGCCTTGAGCATCCAAGGACTGAATTAGAGACTGCATACCCCACATCCGCAATGGCATGTGAATTTGCCAGAACTGAAGGTCTGTAACAGGATCCCAGTACCTCTCTACCACTTCCCTTGAAAATTAAATACTTCTCTCACTTTAGTTTCAATTATATAAGGGATCCCACAGCTTACTTCCAAGGCGTCTTGCAGGAACAGAAAAGGAGAAGGGAAAGATAAGGTAAAGATGTAAGGTGGTGAGAAATGCACAGTTGCATTAAAGGTGTCCATAGGAACCAGTCTGACACAGATTCATTTCATGTTTTTTCTAACAGGGGGGATTCCTGCATTGAAATCTGGTGATGCAACAGATCAGTGTTTAGCATGTTGAACATTACCAGTCTCAGCTTATCTACGAAGCCCATCTTTGATACTAGGCTCACAGAATAGTCACTTGACACTTGAAATGCTTTGCAGACTAAGGAGGAGGCTGGGGATGTCAGGACTGACTATGCACTTCATGCTGAACAAATGAATACTCGGAGTAGTGACAAATTTAGTAGTACCAGAAGGGATGAAATACTCAAAACTCCTCGCCTTCTTCCTCACTTGTAAGGGCTACCATCCAGTAATTCCCACGTCCACCTCTGCTAGGTACTAGAGGGAAAGGCGAGTGCTGCTCTGCCTGTTGGGGCACCCATACTGAAAGTGTTGATAACTCCAGGCTTCAGACACAGACAAAAGCCAGAGAACACCCCTGCTTGCAGAGAGGGCTGGAAAGCAAGGCTGCGGCTTTGCTCTGACCTTCTTCAAGGTTACCCAGGAGAGGCATCAAGTTCCTGGGAGGAAACCACACAAGCAAACGTCTCTACCTTTCTCACTGCACCCAGGAGCAGTACTCCCTTCCTAGGAATAACACGGTACTGGGAATACACACACAAAAGCTTTCCTTTAGGGATCAGGCCACATAACTTCTACAGCTCTTTATTATGTAGCTTGTAAACAGTTTATTTCAAGTGAAACTCATGCAAGGAAGGTGTCTGTTATTATTTTATCCTGTGGGCAGGCTAACAAGAAGGACTAGCAGAAGCAGTACCACAAAAGGAAGATGATGGACACTGCAAGGCTAAATTTCACCCCTGCTGCTGGTAAATATAAGCCACCAACGGAACGAGGCAACTCAGCCTCCAGAAACCCCGTGTCACTTGTGGTTTCAGTACTCAGACACACAAGGAGACATTCTGAGAGGTAACAGAAGAGACTTCGGCATGCAAGAGGGCATGCAGAGCTCCACGTACAGGAGGCTCTGTTCCTCAGCATTACTCATGCGCCTGAAGGTCCTTATCCTGTTACTGAGACACTGTGGTGGGACCGCCAAAGGCATTTATGGGTCTGAACCAGGTGAACTCCCCACCGCAGTCTTCCTCCTCTTATTGCCCATCTCTTATAGGAACTGCTCTGGAAGAAGAATCTGTTTTCTCTGGAACACAAGTGCATGATTAAGCACATCAGACACAATTAGGTGTACCACAGCTTTTATCCACCTCAACACTAGCAGTGATGTCTGCATTCAGTTTGTAGCAACAGATTTGCTGAAGAGATCCTTATCTAACCACAAAATCAGCTGCAGCACCCACGAGGAACACAAATCAAAAGCTCTCCCCTTAAATCCTCTGAAAAGACCAAGTTTCCTACCTGGTTTCTTCAGTGGCCATGTAAAAAACATCGTCTGGTGCATCAATCCAGTTCATCCTCCTCCTTTTCACTGGAGGCATGGATCCACCACGAATTAATCGGACTTTTGTTGGGTATGATTTCCCATTGAGCAGCAAGTTTCGGCTTGGTCCCTAACGTGATACATAAAAAAATACAATTACAGACTCGAACAAACCTGCAGCAGCATGTGATAAGCACTCAAGGGAAAAGACAATTAAAGTTTTTGTTTCTGGTAAATATATCCCCTCTCGCCCACGACTGAACACAGAATTCACATAAAAGCAATTGTCCACAAGCAGTAGAAGTCAGGCACCTTCAGTATACAATAGGACAGCAAATACTCCAGCGACAGGACAGATAAAAAAAAAATGGAAGGCATTACCAATAATCTGTTGCTTGTGTCTGAAAGATGACATCAAGTTTGAAAGATTGAACATAAGACTTAGATTTCAGCTACTACCATAGATCTAGAGCAACTCTATTGATTTCAGGGAAGGAAATCTAGCTACACAGCAAATCAAATATAAAAATCAGAATTTACAGTTATTCTGGGGTACCAAACTTACCCATATCCTTTCTGTTCTAGGAAGGTTAATATTTAACGATATATTAAATATGTTGTTGAAAACAAATCTAGAACTACAAAGCTCAGCAGCTTTCATCATAAAATCTTTTTAGCATTTAACACCACAGATTTCCCATATACAATACATCTGCTTTGCGAATCAACACAGGTTTAATTTTTCAGACCCACATTAGCCCCCTTCCACTCAACTGGAAAAAACAGGAGCTGTTATTAAGAGAGGTGCAGATGAAAGGGAGCAAAGGATTAAGCTTCGCAAATGCAGCTGTCCTTGAAGTCCAGTTCTGCTGCCCCTCTTCCCGCTGATTAGCACATTGAGAAATCCCACTGAAATCAGTAACACTGGACAAGTCAGAAAAGATGCAAAATAAGGGCTCAGAAAATTTAATATGAATAAATTAAAGCTGGTCAGAAAACATCCCAGTAGAAATTTAATTCTGGTATTTCATACAGCAGGTCATCCTCTGAGGTGAGACCATCTCCCCAGATGCACCCAGGCTTCCCCTTCTGCCCACGAAATGGAAAACTGAGTGTGTACATGAGGGATGTCTGGCCTGGGAGATCCACCTCAAAAGGAAAGGTGGGGACATGAGGTACTCAAGTCCTCAAGTGTCCGGTTATGGCAAAAGCTCAACCAAATTTTAATACTTTGACTCAGAAAGGGAAGACCTCAGTCTGCCAACCAAGAAAAAAAACCAACAACAAAACCTTGCATCTATCTCATTTTTATCTGAAGAGAAAACAAAAAATGATCCATGACTTTTTTTTTGACCAGCCTTAATCAACTATGCTAGCAAGATCTGCTTCTTGTAGAAAATCAGGGCTTTAGAGCTAAACAAACAAAATCCCACCTTTTAAAATCCTAAGCTCTTTAAAACTGCTGTATACAAGTGCAATAACAATTAAATTTCTCAGTTGCCCAGCTCCATGTTATACAAGACAACTTCAGCACCACAACAGACCACTGAAATACTTCAAGAATTGCTTTTATATTTGAAGTTTATTAAGGAAAAGGTTTCAAATAAAAAGCTTTTCTGTTTTTTGGGTTTTTTTAACCCCCTCCAGATTTCTCCAAGAAAATCCTTTCATTAGTGTTGCAAAGGATATTTTCTCCATATATGTTACATACGCAAGTGAACAACTCCAGAGAGTTCTTGGAAATACCTAGAAGGGGACTCCTGTGCTTCTAGGTTGCCTTTTCTCTACCTGCACTGAGCAATCCATTTCAAATAGTACATCCTGAAACGTGGACCTTTAATTTTCAGTTCAGTAACACACTTTACCAAGCAACCAGAAATCAAGGCAGTTCAGGGAGGGTTTTACCCTAAAACACCTAAAAAGTGTTAGGTCATCACAGATTTCTCCCACTGCACTGAGTTGGTTTATACAGCAGACACAAACAAGTAGCCAGTCTCCTCAGTGACAAGAAATGAAACTGAATTCGAGGAATACGATTTACCACTTCATATCAGATGCTCTAGTAACAAACCAAATGAATGCTTTGCTCTTACAAGCAGACTAGCATGCTCACGTTATAGCCTACCCCCATGATACTGCACACTATCCAAGAGCATTACTAGATTGAATAATGCTGGTGATCACCACTCGGTGACCATCAGTCATACCTGCTGCTGATTGACCCATGTCAGAGTGACTCTACTGACACCAATATGGCATGGCAGTTCACCTAATGAGGCAAGCTCCGCTTTATCAACACCAGAAGATCATTTGGGGGGGGAGGGGGGGGGGGGGGAAATTTATGCTTGAAGTTCTCTCCCATAAGTCATGCGTAAGGGGGAAAGTGATGCACAGCCTTTGCGCTGGCCCCTTCACACTGAGGTGAATTCAATGAGAAAGCATTTTGCCAGAGACACGTCAATCAGACTGGCTATTTGCTTCTGTCCTTTGATAAAACTCAGCATAATGGATGAAAGGCTAGGAATCATTTTTACTCAAAAAAAAAGAGAACATAAAGAACAAGCATTCTCAGCAGACAACTTGCACACCACCTTCCTAAAAAAATAACAAAGAAAAAAAGAAACTGTTTTCCAAACAAACCCTTCCATCAGTTAAACCTTCCTCCTTCAGTGAAACACATTCCACCTAGAAACACATCCCAGAACTTTGCTATAAACAGCCACTCAGTTTCTGTATGAGCAGAAACAAAATGTTCCATTCAAAACAGAATCTCATTTATATAGATAGATAGATTTGAAGTTTAAATTGAATTTAACCACTTCAACATTTCATATTCACCAAAATAATACTTTTTAAAAAAAATTTTCAATTTAATTGGGAAGTATGACCAGCTGCAAACAGCAAAGACGGAAGTGAAACACTAGGGTTTAATGGGGTGTTCTATCTAGCGTGGGTTAATAATTCTTCTTTTCCCTGTTTTGGTTAAATGAACATTCTCTTACCATTTGTCTGGTTTGTCCGTGGTTAGGCAGACCTAACAAACAGGAAAGAGAATAGAGCTGGTAAGACCATTGCTTTTCCAAGACAGAAAAAAGTACAAAATCAAAACACACGCAGCTATGATCGCAACTGTGTTGTTTTGCTAAAACAAGAGTTGTCTACCAAACTAACTTCTCCCCTCCTAGAAAGGTAACTGAGAAAAGAGCTTCCTTAACAACATGGTTTGAAGAGCAGAGCCCCAAAGTTAAAAACACATTCCGGTCACTCAGTCTTTTTCTCTGTTTACTCACACCTTTCTTCAAACTACCACTAAAAGCACACCTCCTCTTTCAGATCTGAGGTTTTCCTCAATTTTTGGGAAAAATCTGGCATTCTGTTTTAGTTTTGGAGGAACTTACTGACATCAAGAAGGAGAAAGTGGAAGGTATTACACACTGTCAAGAACAGCAACAAATAAAATCTTTCCTGTCATCCTTGGATCCCCAGGGAACTCTTCCAAGCTCAGACGTTAGCTACACACTGTTAGCAAACAGACTGTATCTACTGAACCTACCACAAGTAAATACTTCCACAGGCGTAGCTCCATCAGTCACAGAGCACAGCGACTCCAGCTATCACAAAAGCCCTTCCCCAGTAATACAAACAGCACCACAAAGCACCGAGCACAATGCCTTGATTTTACCAGCTTATTTGCTATACTACCCGATGCCCTGCCACGCTGCCATAGCTATGTACTGAACTGTACATACATGAGACCTTGCAGAACACACAGAGGTCTTGGGATATAAGAGAACAATGTGTTGCTACAAGGCAGCAGGGTATGGCATGGAATGGGCTGGGAGACCTAATCAATCTTTTTATTAGCACCATTTAGTTTTCTAAGATGCACGCTCCCAGAAAACACCGTTTCATTAACACCAGAGCACCAAGCCATCCTTCTCAGCCCCGTCCTGGCTGAGAACCAAAATGTCAGCACATCAAACCCAACAGGTACTACAGGGCAGGCATCAGCAAATGCTGTCACTGGCTGCAGAAGTTATGAATTCTGCTTTCACATTTATAGCAAGCTTCCCAGGTTCCCAGTTTGACACTTGAAATTTCCCATTGCTAGCCAGTTAAGCTGTGATGAAACAGCAATTTTTTTTAAAGAATCCAGCAAAAATAAGCTTTTACAGTTCATGGTCTGTACTCCAACAGATTCCCTGAGATTCTCCTTAGTAAAACCAAACACAATGTACTCACAGCAAGTATGCCAGGAAACCCATGGCACAGCAACGTATTAGGAGGGAGGAAGGCGGAACAGGGGACATTTTCTGAGCATTGAGCACCACACCACCACATTAAAATCAACAGTGCATATCAAGTGCATTTTCCACTCTGTATAGAGGTATGCCATTTACTACTTCAAACATGAATGCACACAGTTTCAATTTTTGCAGCGTTTTTGTGCCGAAGTATCCACAGAGATGAAGAAATAGCTGCCAAAAAGATTTCCATCAGATATGTAGAACAGATGTACCAGGCACCAAGCAAGAGGACCAGTAACAAACTCTGGATGTTGACAAAAGCAACGTAGGCGCCAGATAATCACTCCTTTTTACACGGGAGCAGCAATCGCATCCAAAACACAGCTGTGAGCAGCCATTTGAGAGGGATGGACAAAGAACTCCACGGATGCTGGGGAACAGCACAGCCAGCAGGATGCAACCTGAATCTGCTGGCTTCAGAGCTGGGCTCTAGTGCTTGTCTTTTCTTTCCCCCTTCCATAACAGAAAGATAACATTTTCTCCATTCACAGGAACTCCAGGAGATGTAAATCAACTGATGCTAGTCCCTGGATTGAAGCCACACATTTCATTTTAACCACACTCCAGATGAGCTCTTTTCTTGTGCTAAGAACATTCTTGATGCCAGAAAAGACTAGCCTACAGGAGCAGCCGATACGCGGCTGCTGCGATGACGATCGCTGGATGTAAACCAGACAGTAAACAGTGCTATCCCTAAGCACCAGAATTAACCCAGAATATTCCACAGCAAGAAGAGATGTTAAAATTGACACAAACTGAGTGAAGGCTGAGCAGAACTGCTACTTACTCTGAGTCCCAAAGCTTCAGAGCCCGGAAACAGCAAAGAAGCAGTGGCTACAAGTGGGACACACCTCACCCCGAAGCTGTAACTTCTATGATAAAGTTGCCTGAGACAACTTTTTGCTCCAGCAAAATTAGACACAAAGTTAGTTTCAATACAATTTATACTCTTGCTGTCACAGTAATAAGGTATTGATTAGCATATTAATCTTAGCTATCTGTGAATTTTCCCTTTAGTCACGCTTTGATAACTGGAGTTTTAAAGAATAAATATTAAAAACAGACACTAAAAAGACTAGCTTCAGTTTGCAATTAAACCCCCCCCACACACACAATGCAGCTGAAGCACTGCTATTAAATGAGCATTTTTTACCCACAACAGTCAAAAAGATGCAGAGAGACAGTGCAACATCTGTAAGCCATTGCAGAACAGCTGTCAAGTCAACAGGATGCATCTGTACTGGAAACAATGGATTCTCACCCAAAAGTTTTTGGTGGCTTCTGTGCAAGAGATGAGGTCTGCAATACAAGCGTCTCTCAAGAACTAAATGAATCCTCCGTCTCTGGCTAAGGAGTGGTACAGGTAGGTAACTCACCATATGAAACTTAGTTCTCCCTGAGGTGCTTGACCCATTTTCACAGATCAAGGTTTGAGAGAAAACTTCTCTCACACATCCATCCAAAAGCAGGTTAAAAAAGTAGGACAGCATATGAATATAAACCAGGAGCAAAATCCAACAAGGTTCTGGCAGCTCCTCTACAGGAAAAAAACCTGTCTTTAACTTCATTTTAGGGAGGGATGTCTAGAGAAGCCACAGGGTAGAAAGTGTGAATATTCCTTTCGATGGTATCTAAAGTCTAACTGCTTGAATTGACATAGTTCCACATAAGAAACACCACTAAACTCCTCCAAATAAGGAAAAAGAACCCAACAAACAAAAAAAGGCAACCAAACGTTTAAAACTACAAAGTGTAAAGTCTACAACCATAAATCTAAGTAGATCTTCCACTCTTCTGCAGCCAAAGAAATTGAAATGTATTCTGAAAACTCAAGATTAAATGTTTCTTCCATAGCACTGGAAAAAACACAAAGCCCAACAAAATCTCCTCCCATTCAACTCCTGCCAAAGTTTCCTCTATACACTGAAATAAAGAGGAAGTCTCAATGGATAAAATGTAGACAAGGTAAATTGAAGGTATGTCTGCCGATAAGCATTGATGTCCTTTGCCTCAGACGATTCTACATTGTTACTGAAATGGCAAGAAAACAACTAATCACAGTCAGAGATTAACCGACATGCTCAGCGCGTGCTGCCTCAGCTCCCCACAACTTAGTGACAAAGACCTCAGAAGTGCTCCTCAAGCGGAAGCACAATTACCGAGATTTTGGCTCAAAACCAGACGCAGCAGGTTACTATGCCTAACGATCCTTTCATTCAAGTATCAAAAGCCACAGATGAAAATACTTTCACCCCCAAAAAAGGCAGGTGGGGAAGGAATATCACAAACAGCGAGCACAAGTCTGTTACTGTGCAGCTTTATCTTCTGGGGACGGGGGGGAACCACCTCTCAGACACCCAACCGGTTTCTTTCCCCACGATCTCCTATCATTTGAATCTAACGCTTTCAGCTGTGTTAAATTTAACATGAGAGAATCCCCAAACTTCCTGCAGCAACTAGAGCAGCACCCCAAGAGCATGCTGCAGCAGTAGGGAATAGTTGGCACCCGACAACACAGAGCAGAGTGGGGGAATCTAATTTCCTGATGGGAAGCAAACCAGCACGTCTGGTCCCACTGGAAGCCTGAGAGTAGACATGCATGCTCTTTGCTGATCCAATCCCACTCCCCACGAGTCCAGCCTGCGTACACTGCCCGTGTATTTACAGACCATTTCACAGTTCGGTGTAAGTTTGTGCAGAGCTGACCCTTGATACCGAGGAGGAAGAGTAGCCAGCTTCCAGCCACTGGACATAACTTGGAGCCGCTACATTTATTATTTACTTGAACCAATTGTCAGTATATCTGCCACACACAAAAATATGGGTCCTTCATCTCATGTTAACGTAATACATCTTTTCTTTTCTTGGCCCCCCCCTTTTTTTTTTTTAAAAACCCAATCAGGACATCAAGCAATTAGTCACAGATGGTATTTTGTTTTAACTTCTGTTTACCAAAGAGAAATATCATGCAGAACATGCAATACGCAGTAACATTCATAAGCACGTCTTCAGTCACAATAAACGTAAAGAATTTAACACAAACTTTCACAACCAGCAAGTTTACTATACTAAAATACATTGCTTTCAAAAATCCATACACTCTTCATACGCATTTTCCTTTTCCAAAAGTAATCCTCCTCCTGGGATTCCATCCTTCCCAGCAGTAACAAAAACATCAACAGTACCACATTTGTGAGCAAGCTAGAAAAAAAATATAAAAATGCATGCATGAATGAGGCTTGATGAACAAGGATTTCACTTCCAAGTTACAGGTTCACTTGAAGTACTCTCTGTGTGTTGACACATACAATTTTTGCAAGCTTGTAAGAATGCTTTAGTACCCCTCTCTTTCTTAAACTGCCAAGAGCGTGCTACCGCTGTGAGTGGATTGAGTGTTCACCTTCTAACAATCAAGGCTATCAACTTTCAGGAATGCAAGTGCAACAAAAGCAGAACAGAGCATAAATTGTACCAAACACCACCTAGACTAGTATTTTCTTAAAATTCTGTTCTACTGAAAAACAATGTTAAAATTGCAATTTACTTACCTAAGTAAGTTCCTACCAAGATTGGCAAAGGAAAAGGAAAAAAAAGATTTAAGGTTAAAAAAAGGAAAGATACACATAGTTCAGAATACAGTAGCCCAGCCCCATGCAACAAATACAGAAACAGACTGTTTTGGTTGTAATGAAACACAGAAGTGATCACAGGTCTCTGTTGGACAGATAAACCAAGACAACATTAAACAAACAGTAACTCCAAATGAGAGATTCCACAAAGAGCTTTAATTTTGTATGAGCAGGTTGTGGTTCATTAGCAGCCTCCTTCCACTAATCCCTGCACATTAACCTCCTTGGATCTGGACAGTATTTCCTAAAATGCTTGGTCTAACAGTTCACATTAATTTGCTTCACAGTACCTCACAGATGACATGTTTGTTCATGCAAAGCTGTACCTTCTGCTAAGACTACTTCAGGGACTCTACTAATATTTTCTGGGCAGTGACATCCAACTACAATGAGTCAGTACCTACCCATGGACAAATACGTTGAGGATGGAGAGCTGCTACCTATCTTGGTGTTGAGTCAATAAATACTATCCACTCACGTTCCTAAAAAAAGCATCACGGTATATTCTGCTCTGGCTGTAACACACTAAGTGGTTAAAGAGACAACAAAACCATGCGCCTCACTGCTTTAGTGATCCAAACTATGTAAACTAGAAACCACTGAATTATTCACTGTTCTTAGAACTGGGAGTATTACAGGTCAAATACATATATACATATGTGTGTGTGTATATATCATATGTATCATACAGGCAGATTCCACTTAATTACAAGTTCAGGCTTTGTACTAGCAGGAGCATTTGCAATTTTGCCTTTGCATTGCTATGCATTTATTTCCTGTCATATTAATTACACCCGCTCCCTGCCGCTGCCCTGGGATATGCATTCTCTTCTCCTTCAATCAACATTTGCATCTTACTCCATACCATCCCTCATAAACAAAATGGTTTTCCCTAGTTGATCCATAGAGCATAATGCCCACCTCCTGATTTCCAGATCTTTCTCCGTAACACCAAAAGAAACTAATCACAGTATCACAGCTAAGCTGAAGGCGAGTGAAAAAAGTTATATGTAACATCTGAATACAAAATGCTAACTACAATTCTCAAAAATAATCTGTACTTTTGGCATATAATCTAAAGCAAGGAAGTTGCACAGGCACACGGTTCCTGGGGTCTCCAAAAAGCATTTCAAGCAACTTGTCATTCTTCCCAGCTGTGCTGCTGCTGGCAAGAAACAGTCATTCCTTTAAGAAGTACTGAACATTTTCTCTCTTGACACTAGTCAGCATTACACTGGTCCGGATATCAACAGCTAAAGCCAGGACTTTTCCCAGGCACCCCACGTAACACATTATTAACGAAAGGACCAATACTCCCTGCTGTTTACAGTCATTCCTGGATGGATGGATTTCCTTCGGCTGGTTATCCTTGACTTTGGAAGGGCAGCTAGGGCCACTAAATGTAGAATTTTAACACAACTTATGCATACAGGTAAGTCCAAATTTTCTGCAAGGTCTAAGTCAGCCAGAAAACAACCTTTGAGGTAAGTCTGGTCACCTACATAGCTGATGCTAGAGAACTTCCTTATATTCCCACCTCGACAGCCATTTTTGATCAAGAACAGTATTTCCGCTCTTGATAATTAAACTAATGCCATGCTAGGCTGATGAATGCTTCAATTTCTAGGAGTTCATTCACATTTCCCCAAAGGGAGATGAGAAACAATGAACCAGAACACGTTAAATTAGATTGACATCCCACTTTGGTACAGAAATCCCCAGTAGCAGAAGCAAGGTATTCCAACAGTTAATTAACCTCACTCAAAAATCTGCAGCTTGTTTCCAGCCAAAGTTTTTCTACAGTACCTTCTGGCTACTGCAGCTCATTATTCCATTCCTGGCTAGACTAAAAAGCCCTCTATTATTACACTTCTGCTGCTCCTGTCAGCAGAGACAAACATCTACAACTTCCACTTTGATAAAAGCATTTTCCATTATACAGTGTGTTTTCCAGTCCCTTCATCGTTTTCATGGCTCTTCTATAAACCCTCTCCAATTTTCAGCGTACGATCCGCTACCATTTTATCAATGCAAGTTTGTTGCTGGGAAAAGCCTTCCCTTTATTTCAGCTACTCATTCATGTTCTCTCTCTTTCTGCCAATTTTAGAGTGCATGTGATGACCCTGAAAAACAAATTTGATTAGATGAAAGCTAACATGGTGTGAAAGAGGGGGAAAAATTCTAACAACAGTCCCTCCCCTCCTCCAGTAGGAATTTGCATAGACCCCATACTGGATCGCTGTAAGGAAAAAAAGTAAATAGGGTCCAGAACATAAAACATGCTCTCTGTACGTGTCTAGAGAAGGTTTCATGGCAAATATTGTCAGTCAAGCTCCAGAACATTAATGAAAAAGCAATAAGCTAATAAATTTCTAACATCTCACTGTACTTGACAGCTTATGAGACTCCATGCACTTTCCATGCTCCAAAAATAGGAATCTGCAGGAGTTTGTTCATGATAACCTAATACTGAAGGAGAGCTGGGCAGGGCACTGTTTACCTAATGATGCCTCAATGACATTTAAAGGAGAAGAAGAAAACAAAACAGATGAAAGGACTACACCCTTCTTATGAAACAGAGTGGAGGGAGAGAAGAGAGAGGAGATTAAGAACATTTTCCTGTTCTTGGAATTCAAGCACCAGTCAAAACTCTACATGCCTGGCCAGACAAATCATATGCAAAGCTTGAAAAAGTTCAGCTCTCCACAGTTAAGCAGGGATGATTCAGAAAAAGAAAATTTAAAGATTCTTAGCTGGAGTTACAGTAGCAAGAGAAAAAAAAAAAGTAAAAAACAAAATTCCAAAGGACAATTCTGAAATACTTTTATAAAAGTTCAGCAATTACCAACATTTCCATAATTAGTTTCAACTAGTTCTGGCCGTAGCCCGCTAACAGCAGTCTCTTTTTCCTCCTTGATACCTCACCATCAAGGTTCCCCTTTTCCCAGTCTTTCCTTGCTTCCCATTACTATCTCTCTTCACACAGAGTCCTACCTGACCAACCCACATCCGTGCATAGACTAGGTGGTCTTCCATCTCCAGCCCTCCACCCTCAGCCATCATTTGGGCACATTTAGGTACAGTGCTTCCACTTATGCAGGAACTTCACTGATTAACTTTTGAGGGCCGAATTCCAACTACTGACCACTAATCGTCATCTACCAAGGGGTCGTAGAGCCTCAGATGAAAATCTTCCAGCAGTGCTGCCTGAAGGAACACCCAAAAACCTACATGAACAGTTCAATTTTCAGCAATGTTAAACAGCCTAATTTTAAATGAAGGCAGGTGGCATAGGAATTTAAATGCCTTAGAAACCTAGCCACCAATATACATGTATAAACATGGATCTTAATGCTTTACACTAAGCAAAAATACTAGCTGCTAGTTGGCTCATTCCCTGCAAAGCAATCTCTTGATTTTATATTGCTTTAAGATCTGGCCATGAGGAAAGCCTTAAAAACTTATCACATGCAATCAGCTCAACAATCAGCCATAATTTACAGTATACATACTTCCCCTACGAATAGCTCAGACCCAAAAGGCTTTTGGCACCAGCAAAGAGACTTCAGCTAAAGCCCATCATACTAGCTGTCCACTGTCATGTATCAGAGACTTTGACACAGTGACCTGTCCAAACCATGCGGTATCTTCCAGGTACCACCAACACAGCACATTTTGGAAACAGAAAAATCCCTGGATAATTTATGTAACTGCAGCAAGTTCTTGAAACTATTGCAGCATAGGTGGATAAAGTGTCTTCCTGCACTTAAATTTGTGCAGAAAGAATATTTTCAGTCTCCTCGTTCAGTTGTCTTACCACTAGCTTTTCTATGCAGTATACTCCTGCAGTGACCTAAACCAGCCAGTATGCCACCACGTATCACTATGGGGAGAGGAAAAACATAAAAATAACAAAGTCTCCACACCCATTTCCCATAGTATCTATAGGAGCTACGTAAATGAAGAATCTGACTGGTTATAACAATTCAGTTTTACTCTCATCAATCTTTTTCTTCTATTTTAGGTCAGTTCTAATTAAAAAATCAGTCATTCTGGATAGATGGGTTTATTTCAGTCCTTTCGTACTAACTCATTGGCTCCTAAATCTTGCTCACAAGGCTTCATCACTCTTGCTGCCATTCAACCCTTCTTCACAACAGTTCACAACTCGTGCTCTTCCTCTCCTCTGACCTCCTCCTCTCCCTTCCCACCAGCAGCCCCCCAAACTAGTAAGCCTGTCTGACTCCACCCAGAGCCAAGGAGAAGTCTCAGCACCACGTTCCCAGTGCTGGCATGGTACAGGAAACTGGCATTAGCCTTGCCCAGAGCGAGCAAAGCTTACAAGCACACGTGCAAGGTAACTGGGAACCAGTGCTAAGTGCACTGGCACACAAACTGACTCCAGGCCAGAAATAGCTCCACCAAACTTCCAACAACCGTTTCCCTGTGCCCAGCAGAGCTTGATCCAAGGTCTTTAAAACTGGTTTCCTTGCAGGTGGTTCCCTTCCCTCTCTGTCTCAGCAAAGCCTCCAGCAACCCAGGGTCAGAAAATATTCCAGATATTGAAATTGCAGCATGACAAACATTTTCCATTCACAAATAAATCTCAACCAATGAGTTTAAGCCAAACTGCTCACAAGAACTTCCAGTTAACACTCAGTACCCCAGCAGGTAAACAGATTCTGGGACTGAATCGTACGCCGCTACCTAGCAGTTACAGAACAAATACTACTACAAGTATTTCAGTGGCTGGCTGAGAACAGACCGAGCAGACAAAGCAGCAGGCGCTTGGTGAGAACCAGCCCCTGCACAACTGCCCATGTATGCTTCAGAGACACACTTATTTTGAGTGGCCTGAACAGGTACTTCACCAAAATCTTCTTTTTGCAAACTGCTCCAGCAACAGTTATGACTGAAATGCATCTAATCAAGTATGTGTACCAGCAGAGAGATGTTTTAAAACACTAAAACAAGAATCCTCCATTTCCAGTAAGTACATGGTCTCAGGTTATCAAATCCAGCGCTCTATGCAGAGAGAGTCTGAGGGAAGCATCAGTTCTTCTTCCACTTCCCTCCTTTGGGCCACAACATCTCAGAGCTTCAGAAGTGTGTCATCTGCTGAGTGACTCAGCAGTCCCTTTGCTGATGAGGACATTGAGGAGGGAGCAGCAGGCATGCCCATAAGCAGGTTGTCACTAGGAGTTGTGGAAGTTCAGTGAGCTACTCCGCACCTACATCCCTCATTACTGGACAAAGCTCCTGAGGAAGCCAAACTGACCGAGGCAGCAGAGCTTTGTTACTCTTCCCAAAACACAAAAGTTAAAAAGCACATTAAAAACTCAGCAACGCAAAACTGAGGTATAAATTCCCAAAGAGAGCAAGACAGTAGAAAGATCACTGCCCTCATTCTTATTGTATTCTCCACATGCACTTATATATGCATGCATGTAAATATTGGTAACAGTCATCCACTGTCTCAGCCATTAAACACAAAGCTTAACATCAGGGCATGCAGCATGGGCCATTTCATGGTAACGTGTAAGCTTAAGTTTTTGTGTTTGCCTGTCTTGCAGTGACATTTCTGTATCTTAACTATTGGTCCATTCTACTGAATTTGATTAAGTGACATCATATGCACGTTTCTTGCACTATCACAAACTAAAGATTCTGAGGTCTATTCAGTAGCCAGAATAGATTAATTTTTAGCCTGTGGAAACTTTAAAAACCGTTTCTAGTGCAAGTAGAGAAGATACAGACAGTCTCTCACCAGTGAGACTGTTCACTCACAGTGGAAAATAGAAATGTTTGAACCTGGGACTCAATGCGAACACTGTCTTCTATTTCTTTTGGTCAATGGGAATTTAAAGTAGTTCAGGACACATGAAACTTGGATTTTTTAAAAGTCAAACAGCGAAACAACACCTAGTTTCAAACCAACCATCACAGCTTTCAGCAGTTTCACAAAACTGCTAGAAAACTTTTCTGCCAACTTGAGGAATTAGGAATCAATTCTGAACATAGCACTTCATGTCTTCAGCACGGTTGTATGACTTGTCATCTGCACGTGAAAAGCCTGGAAGGTGAGCAGCATAACCATGGGTGGAAATGGTTACCCAAGGAACACTTAGACATCAACACAGAAGGTGCACACAGACTCATTAGCCACAAAGCACAGATAAGCCAGCAGATGAAACTAAAAATCACTCTCCTAGCATAAGCTGAGCGCAGCTTCAAGGTCTTACCCCTGCTAGGCATCAACAGGCGCTTCTTCATGTTGCCTGATAGAGCACAAGTGAACAGAAAAGAGAAAAACATCACATCAGCAACCTGAACAGCAGCAGTTTTAAAAAGTTCTTAACGTTAAAACACAAACAATAAGCTATCAAATGTTTGTAATTATATTTCAGATAAGCCACATATAAAGTTAAAGGTAAGAAATGAGAAAGATTCTCTGTATCTCCCTCCCTGCTCAGAGTCAACATTAAACCAACTGTTCCTTTCCCCTGCTAAGGAGAGCTACCTGCTGTGTTCTCACTCCTGTTAAGACCGTTTGAACAGACCCTTTTTTCCTCATCTGAGAAAAAGACTGCACTTTCTCTTTCCCGACACTCTCAGGCAAGAGCAACTCTTCAGATCAGAGCCCTGGAGTCCATGCCAGGAACATCCTGCGTCTATCCCACTTCAAACACCTTCACCTTGCCTTTTATTCTTGAGGAGATGAAGCCCAAACTCCACGACACAGAGGTATTCAGTGACAGGGCCAACAAAAGCCAACGCTCTGGTTCTGCGCAAGGCAGGAGCAAGGTTGTGCCACACCAGATCTGGCACGTCTGCCTCCCTCAGCTAAGCAGCCCTTCTCAATGGCATGCAGCCTCTGGTAGCTTTGCTGAAAGCCAGGTGATCCACACGTTACAAAGCCACCTGGAACTGCACAGCTACTACCTACAGGTTAAAAAGCTGTAAACCTCAAAAGAAAAAGGAAATATCATTGGAAAAAGCTATTCAGATTTTCTTCATACTACTCATTTAAAAACTCAAGTTCCTCCTTCACGATCCCATTTGCAAGGTTGGTCAAGCTAGGCAGAGTTCCACTAGCACCGCAGCTTTATGTGTGTGCACTGCCCAGACAGTACACATCATCATCATGTGTCTCACCCAGGAGAAATGGGACAAGTGACTTTTTACAAAAGGAAAAAAATAACCTCCCTAAAGAATAAGAAACTTGGAATTTATATAAAGGACTATAGTTTTAAATAATCTCCTTGTATACCGAAAGGACAGAAGAAAAAGCCTATATAGACAATATAAGTTTCACAGAAAAATATTTACCATCCATTCCGTTGTGTTGTTCATAACTTCTTTTTCCCAGGATAGTCGGGGACCCATTATTAATGACAGGCGTGAACTTAGCAGGAGTCAGATTGTTGAGAGAACTGGACAAGCTCTTTGCAGGATCTGGTTTCGGAGGACATGGATGAGACTCTGTTGTAAAACAGCAAGGTGGGGGGTTTTATTAGTGAAGATACTGAAACTACAAATCTGAAAACCACTTGCAAACTTCCAAGGTGACCAAGCATACCTCCCCTTATATATGAACTATCTCAGTCAGTAAGTTTGACTGGCGATTGCTATTTATATAAAGCATTTTATGTATATTTAAGAATTCACCTCTACTGAAGATGTCAAAACCAATGTCATATTATTCTAAAATAAAAATATAAAATTATTTT